AATGGGAATAATGGGAATAATGGGAATAATGGGAAAGCTCATGCAAATGATCCTCTTCCAACTCCCACTGCTGTGGGTATAATGGGATCTCTGGGCAGGATGAAAGGGGCCGTAATGACACACTCGGTGCGAGAGGGGCACTTGAGCAGCTCCGTCACCTTTGGGGGAATAATGAGGAGCCGTGGAGAGGGGCATTATCCTAAATCCATGTGGGCGCAAAATTGGGAATGGAGAGGCTGGAAATTCAGCAGCACAACAGTGAGAGCTTCCCCTGTAAACTTTGGGAAGCGGGGCTGTGGTTTGGGGTGTGCGGGAAGCTGAGGTGGCCTCTGGAATTGTGGGAGTTACGGGGAATATCGGGATGTGGAGATGTCCCCTGTCCCCACAGCCTTTCCCTCGGGATCCCTGGGGACAGCAGGGATAGGGCAGGGGTGTGAGGATGGGGAAGGGCCGGGAGCAGCTCCGTGCCTGGGGAAGGCTGAGGGAGCTGGGAATGCTGAGCCTGGAGAGGAGCCCCAGAACAGAGGGGCCTCAGCCCTGGGTGTCCCTGGGTGTCCATGGATGTCCCTGACTGTCCCTGTGTCTCCCTGTGTATCCTGGGGTGTTCCTGTGTGTCCCTGGGTGTCCCTATGTGTCCCCAGGTGTCTCTAGGTGTTCCTGTGTGTCCCTGGGTGTCCCTATGTGTCCCCAGGTGTCTCTAGGTGTTCCTGTGTGATCCTGAGTGTCCCTGGGTGTCCCTGGATGTCCCTGGATGTCCCTGGCTGTCCTGGGTGTCCCCGGGTGTCCCTGGGTGTTCCTGGCTGTCCCTGGGTGTCCCCAGTCATCCCTTGGTGTTCCTGTGTCGCCCTCTGTATCCTGGGCTGTCCCTGGCTGTCTCTGGCTGTCACTGTGTGTCCCTGGGTGTCCCTCATGTCCCTGGGCTGTCCCTGACTGTCCCCAGCTGTCCCTGAGTGTCCCCCATGTCCCTGTGTGTCCCTGGCTGTCCCCAGCTGTCCCTGTGTGCAGGGAGGGCTCCGAGCAGGACCCAGCGATGGCACCCGAGGGACAGACAGGGACAGAGCCCAGAGTGGGGCTGGAGTCTCCTCCCGGGGACATTCCAGAGCCAATGGACACAACCCCATGCCCTGAGCTCTGGGATGGCCCTGCTGGGCAGGGAGTGGCACCAGGGACCCTCTGGGGTCCCTCCAGCCTGACCCATCCTGGCATTCTGTGATTCCGGACAAAACCCCCTGAATTTGCCACCACCCCCTCAGGGGAACTCTGGCCCACAACATTGGGAGAGGAATGGTGATGAATCCAAAATCCCAGAATGGGTTGGGTGGGAAGGGACCTTAAATCCCATGGCAGGGACCCCTCCCACTGTCCCAGGCTGCTCCCAGCTCATCCCTGGCTCTGCAGCCCAGATTCAGGAGCACACCCTGCACTGCGTTTGCCCTCCAGACAGAGGCTGTTGGCT